CGGAGGATCCAGGCCTCCGGGGCCGGCCTGGACTGGGGGGGTGGGGGGAACCGGCGACGGAGGCTCCAGGCCTCCGGCGCCGGCCTGGACTGGGGGCGGGGGGGGTGGGGGGAACCGGCGACGGAGGCTCCCCTCCAGGAGGGGAGGGAGGCGGCGGACGGGCCGGGCAGGGCCCGTTCGCCAGGCAGGATGGGTGCTGGAGGTAGGGAAGCCGGCGGACGGAGCCTATCGGCTCCGTTCGCCGCTGGGCTGAAAGCGTCCCTTACCGTATGTGGGGAAGATGGCCGCTCAGAAGAGCTGGCTCCGATGACTGGCTCCCTCCCCTCCCAGCCACCCAGCCAATGGCAGGGCAGGTTGGCTGAGGGAGCCAGTCATTGGAGGCAGCTCTCCTGAGTGGCATATTTTCCACCCATACACTAACGGGGCGCGTTTTAGAATTTTGGCAGCGACTACTCTTTTATATAAGGGAGAGATTTTAATTGGATTTATAACCCACCTTCCCCTGCATAGCAGGGCTCAGGGCAGGTGACAACAATACATTAGGTTAAAACCTTTAACAATAAATTAGGTTAAAAACCTTTAACAATATTTAAGACAGCTCAAATTTACCACAATCAATAAGATGGCACAGAGAGAGGGCACAAACAGTGCCTCATTTCCTGGCAGTAAGGAAGGGGGAGGGGAAAGGATGATGGAAGGGGAAAGGGAAGAGAAGGAAGCCAGCCTGGCTAGAAATCAATTGCCTTCCTCAGCCATAGGCCTGGCAGAACATCTCCATCTTACAGGGCTGAGAGCTCTGGACGAGGTCAGCCAAAACACTCTTCAGGCCAGGGATCACCAGCATATTGTTGTCACGCAGGGCTCTTTTTGTAGCAGGAACTCCTTTGCGTATTAGGCGACACACCCCTGATGTAGCCAATCCCCCAAGAGCTTACAGTAGCCCCTGTAAGAAGAGCTCTGTAAGCTCTTGGAGGATTGGCTACATTAGGGGGGGTGTCGCCTAATATGCAAAGGAGTCCCTGCTACAAAAAGAGCCTTGGACTTGAGCGCAATGCTCTTTGGTGGGTATACCGGGAGAGGCGGTCCCGTAGGTATGCTGATCCCAGACTGTTTAGGGCTTTAAAGGTTAATACCAGAACCTTGACCCTGATCCGGTATTCAATCTGGAGCCAGTGCAGCTGGCAGAGCACCGGTTGTATATGGGCTCTAACTGGGGTTCCAAGAAGATGGAGGAGGAGGAGGGGGAGGGGGAGGGGGAGATTGGATTTATACCCCGCCCTTCACTACCCAAAGGTGTCTCAGAGTGGCTTACAAACTCCTTTCCCTTCCCCTCCCCACAACAGACACCCTGTGAGGTAGGTGGGGCTGAGAGAGCTCTTGACAGAAACTGCTCTTTTTCCAAGAACAGCTCTTATCAGAATTATGGCTTGCCCAAGGTCATCCAGCCAGGTGCGAGTGGAGGAGTGGGGAGAATCAAACCCGGTTCTCCCAGATTAGAGTCCGCGCACTCAACCACTACACCAAACTGGCATAAGGACCCACACTGCTGCATTTTGGACCAGTTGAAGTTTCCAGGTCAGCTTCAAAGGTAGCCCTGCATAGATCAAATTACAGTAACCTAATCTGGAGGTGACAGTTGCATGGATCACTTCAATTGGAGGGAGACAGGTAAGGGACTAATTGCCTAACCTGGCATCGGTGGAAGAATGCCATTCTGGCCACATTTGCGATGTGGGCCTCCGTTGAACGGGAGGCACTTTATGAGATCGCTGTTCTAGCACTTTATGATAATTTGATAATTGGACTTTTTATGATTGTTTTATGACTGGTTTTAATTATATTTATATGTTGAATTTTTATGTAAGCCGCCTTGAGCCTGCTTTGGCGGGGAGGGTGGGGTATCCATTGAATGAATGAATGAATGAATGAATGAATGAATGAATGAATGAATGAATATGAAAATCACACCCAGACTCTTGACCGTCAGTGCTGATGTTAATGGCACACACTATCAGGAGTATGGAGTTGGCACCCTAAACCTTGATTCCCCTGGCCCAGCCACAGGACCTCCATTTTCGATGGATTTAATTTCAGCCTTCTCGGTTTCAACCATCCAACCACTGCCTTCAGGCAATCAACTAAACTTTCTGAGGCGGTATCTGGCTGGTCGTCCATCAACAGATATAGCTGGATGTCATCTCCATACTGATGACAACCCAGCCCAGAGCTCTGAGCTAGCTGGGTGAGGGGGAGCATATAGATATTGAATAACATCAGATTGCCCCCGGGGGATTCCCTGCACCAAAGGGGATCAAGATGAGACCCTCTCTCCTAGTGCCACCCTCTGCCCCCAATCTTGGACAAATGAGAGCAGCTGTCCCGCTTATCCCCACATCGGCAAGGCGGTGTGTCAATAGATTGTAATCGGCCATGTCGAACACTGTCGTCAATTCAAGTAATAATAGCCGTGCCAAGCTGCCTCGATCCATCGTTCTATGGAGATCATCCATGAGTGTGACCAGTGCAGTCTCCATCCCTTAGCCAGACTGGAAGCTGGATTGGAATGGCTCCGGGGCCGATGTGTCTTCCAGGGAAGTTCGGAGCTCTTCTGCTGCCGCTCTCTGGGCACACTTATTTATCTGAGCACACTCATTTCTAACAAATACTGGTCCTGATCACATGTACCAGAAAATGCAGGGAGGACGTGCGGCTATTTGTGCCACGATACTTTGACCCACCGCTGCGCGATCTGACGCAACGGCGGGTGAAGCAGGTGTTTTCCCTTGCAGCCTGCTTCCTCTGACGTAATTGGAGTGTGCCGGTGCGATTATACCAAAAACAAAACAAGGACCCACGGTACGTAGGAAAACCAACATAACAACAAATACCGTGCACAGATGATTATAACATTTCATAAATATTTTTATATTTTTTGAAAAATATTTTACAATAATTTTTATAT